AGTGGTTCTTAAACATCTAAAGTACTCTTGGGAAATAACAATTATGTATATCTTATTCAAAGGAGCCTTTGTAGCACAGTGGCTACGTGCTCAACTGGTAACCTATAGGTTGGTAGTTCAAACCCACCAGCTATTACATGGGAGAAAGATGAGGCAGCTTGCTTCTCTAAAGATTTATAGCTTTGGGAACCCTGTAGGGGAGGGGAGTTCTCTGTCCTACAAGGTTGCTATGAGTTGGAATCAACTTGATGGGAGTGGGGTTTTGTATTATAAATGCATGACAATTGGAATTATGCTTAAGCTTTGACTTTAGTAGTTGTTCAAAATATTTTCCACTAGATAAAAATATATAAGCATTAGTCTATGACATATTTGCACTTTCCGTTAGGGTACTTGTCCTGTCAGAATTCCCTCCCATCCCAATAAATTGTAACAGTTGATATCCATTTGACCTTGTTTGTGTGTTTTACTTCCACCTGCCCACTAATCCAAACGTGGACCATACACTTCTTTGAAACCCTCACCATCAGGTCATCTACTCGGCTCTCTGCCTTTAAGACTGCAGAGCATTTCCCATCAATACGAGAGTGACAAACCACGAAGCAAGAGTGCAACATGTACATCATGCTTGGCAGTTTGGGAACTCACATTGAGGTCGATGTAAGGGCAAGACATGGACATCAGCGTCCTTCAATCGGAGAAAGTCAGAGATGACCATAGGTACAGCCGACGGAGGGGAGTAATCAAGTTTTCTGTGTCTGTCGCCTCTGCTCAGCTTTCCCTGCAGTTTGGCAATTCACTTTTAGCAGAGAAATCCAACCAGGAGTCAGACACTTCCTCGCTTCTGCCTGAGAAATGATAAAATGCCCTGTTATTTGGACACATGACAATACTTTTCATGATTCATCTTTAAGTCAACATCTAATATTTTCTATAATGTAAAATACACAATCACAGTCTTTTTCTTTCATTAGCATCTAATTTAAAGAGTAATAATTTAAATAAATATTCTTGGCCCTGATTGAGATATCCTGGGGTTTATCAGAAAACTTACAAATCATTTCACATATTATAACTTCAAAATATTTCTGTTTCATGACTTCAGTGTTACAAATCCTCAGACTGTTTGAAAGTGGACATAGTAAGTACTATTTATAATGTCAACTTGCTTGATAATAATCTCTTTAGAAAGTACCACGAGGTCTGAATCACCTAGTGTTAAGCATGAGCTTCTTATATTTTACAGAAGTTTAAACAACTGTAGCAATTAAAATCTGGTTGCTTTTTAAATAGCTGCTAAGCCTCAGTTTCTGGTACCTTGTGGGTCTCCACTGCAGCTGTCACGTACTCTTAACAGCTTATTTTCTTGATGAAGTCTTTTTCTTTTGAGTGGCTTTATTTACAAATGTTGATTTCCAATGTCAGTTTAAAAGGTGAACTCAATCCAAGTTTTAAGCACAATTTAATGTTGTTAGGTGCCATCAAGTCGGTTCTTAGTGACCATCAAGACTCCTCGTGACCAGCAGAAAGAATGATTGATTGCGTGCCCTGGTCACCATTGTTTTTATGTTTGAGCCTATTGTTGCAGCCACTATATTAATCCATCTCATTGAAAGTCTCTCTCACTTTCACTGATCATCTATTTGATGTCCTTTTTCATGGCCTGGTCCCTTTTAATAACATATACAAAATGTGTGAGACAGTCTTACCATCTTCTCTTCTAAAGAATGCCCTGGCTATATGTCTTTGAAGCAAATTTGTTTGTTCTCCTAGAAATCCTTGATGTTTTCAATGTTTGCCCATACCATAATTCTATAGCCTTATGAGACCCACTAAATAACAGTGAGAAGTTGCTGTCTTGAGCTTGATAATAATCACATAGTCTTTTCCATTATCCAGTTATATCTTCACTCCCAGTTCTAAAATATTGCCATCTGTGGGTCCCAGATGGTTTGAATAACTTTTCATACCTCTTATGGTTCTTTTTCCCTGGTCAACTGTTCCTGAACAGTTCCCAGCATCCCTTGCCCTTAGAGAGAACCAAGAACCATAGGACTCTGCTCAGCATCAAGGGGCAGCCTGGAAACCTGCACATTTCACACACTCTTCATCCCTAGTGCCTGTTTGTTAAGAAGTATCACATCTACATCATTCATCTTGGGACTTGTCAACTACCTGACATACATTTTTTACATTAATAATGCTAAGCGTAGAATATCTTTTATTAGTTTACATTGTGCTGTTAACCTGTATATATGAGATAAGGACATTTTTATATTTATGGTTTTATAACATAATTCTCAGTGATAATGTATTGTAAGATCAGTAATCGATTGTCCTCAAATGCAAGAAGTGTATGGATTTTGAAATTTTTATATTTTAGGTTCTTCACAGCATCATTTGCATGCTTCCTTTAGGTTCTAAAGTTTAAGTGTCAAGTTGACCCTGTTTCTAAATAATTATCCATCTGAGGCAAAACATATTTGGGTATAATTCTCTCTGCTTATCAATTGCACTATTTATCTTACATGCATACTTACATATTTTTAACATTTCAAAAATACAAATGTGTAAGGCATGTGTTCATTAAATTGTGCAACAACACAAGGAGGAACCATGGTTTCAGGAGCCCTGATTGCCTTTTCTGCTCCACAGTGCTGCAAACTGCAGTGGAACCTGCCACCTGGCTATACTGACCCTTCAATACCTGCATATTTGGGACCTTTATCTATAAAATTCTGTCAGATTTCTACTGCACACTCCTTAGTCATAGCTTCCCGACCTTATTTGCTGCCTCTCATTCCTGCTTTAGTCTGAACAATAAGTCAGAATCTTGAATAATTGCTAAAATGTTTAAAACACAGTTGATACACGTAGTGTGGTTTTACCAGGAATAGAATATTAAAGTCCATGACTTAGATCATTTACATTATGCGATGTAAACACAAAATGACCATTTTTAAAGTCGTTTTATTAGGGGCTCATACAACTCTTATCACAATCCATACATATATCAATCATGTAAAGAACATTTATGCATTCATTGCCCTCATCATTCTCAAAACATTTGGTCTCCACTTAAGCCACTGGCATCAGGTCCTCAATTTTCCCCTCCCTCCCCGTTCCCCCTCCCTCATGAACCCTTGATAATTTATAAATTATTTTGTCATATCTTGCCCTGTTTCCCTTTACCCACTTTTCTGTTGTCCATCCCCCAAGGAGGAGGTCATGTGTAGATCCTTGTAATTGGTTCCCCCTTTCCACCCCACCCTCCCAGTATGTACCTCACACTACTGGTCCTGAAGGGATCACCCGCCCTGGATTCCCTGTGTTTCCAGTGTACATGCTCTGGTCTAACCAGATTTGTAAGGTAGAATTCGGATCATGATAGTGGGGGCTGGGGGAAGCATTTGGAAACTTTATTTTAGAGTTCTGCTACTTGATATTTCACTTCTGGACTAATAAATTCTTTGGAAGTTCTTTTTCCTGAATTGATACAACCTCCCTATGATTTCCTTTCATTTGATACCATTTCTGCCTCTGAAACTTGAGGATGGTCTAATCTAGTGGAAAACATTTGGACTTTGGCATCAAAAAGACCTCTTTGAATCATATCTTCACCTCTTATTGACATGGTCTTCTTAGGGATATTCTATAATCTCTTGGAGATTTGTTTAGTTTTCTAGGAAATGTCAAATGCCCATCTCATCAGGCTGACTGGAGATTCAATGTGATAAACAGCGCCTCAAAGGAGGGACATCATAGACATTAAAGTGATTCACTAAGTATAAGATAGTTCTGTTCTCTTCCATTTCACCCCTTGCCATGTTTTGTTGTAGTTGTTTGATTTCCAGCAAAACTTTGTAGCGTCACCTTCCTCCTTTGTTACTCTTATGATAGAATTATGTCAAGTTCCTAACTTTTACTCCTTTAAAGATACTTCAAGTTATTTTTAAATCATGGGCCAAATGTATTATTTCAAATTCCAATTTCCCTAGGTCTACATATGTTTTTATTTGCATTCATAATCAGGCATTTCAAAGTTGATTATGAACCTGTAAAAGTAGTTTTGCTTTCAAATTTGGTAACGCAAATTCTGATGTGAATCATTTCTTAGTAATTATTTTCTCACAGCACAGAACATTTTCAGGTTACTCTCTGATTTCCTGCTCTGTCTCCATACGGAAATGCTGTTATGTTTTTGTGTATCAGCTGTCAATGGCAAGAGCTTTCTGCTAGGATATAAAAAGAAAGACCCAGGAAATGTAGAGTGGAACAATGATAGGAAGGGGCAGATGTGGAAATTGAGTACCCAAAGGGCAAAATGAGATATATCAAGGAATTGCCAGTTGGTTTCACTAAAGAGCACATCCCTATAGATTTACTTTTCATAAGCATACAATCTACTTGCAGAGCAGAAGGGTTTTAGTGATTCGAACACATACCAATGGTACAGATGGAGGTAAGGGACAGGGTGGGGCAAGTAGTGCTGAGGTCAACTTCTGGTTTTCCCGTAGTAGTTTTCCCCTATAGTGTTATTTCAATCTGGGCTACCAGGACCTTCTGGTTTCACAGCCCTGCCTCAGGTTGGACCAGCTCTTTCCCACCCAGTGGTCTACATTTTATTAATTAATCATTGTGCTTCGTTGGTGTTAATTTAACCCTGGCATGTATCAGTTCTCATTTTTCCTTTCAGCAGTGCCTCAATGTCTCTTATTGACTCTGGATATCATTCTTTGGCTTCTTCTTTCTTCTTACAGTTTATGTGGGTCTTAAATTGTGATCACTATAGAGTTTTCAGGATCTACAAAGATGCAATTTATTACATGTATCAAGTGACTTTCACTTGTAAATATACAGGCAAGTATGAGGATGTTCAAACTTTGTTGAAAAAGTCATTAATACTCAAAGGAAGAAATTAATATATGATTCTGACATATATATTATGTTATGCAATTTATAAAGCATCAAAATAATTAAAAAATATTTTCTTTTGAAAGTTGGCCAGGGATACTTTGCACTGATCCTTTTAAAAGGAAATATGTGGCCTATGACCTGGATGGAAATGTTGAAAAGTACCATATAGAATTTCTGGGTGAGCCCCATACAAGATCATGGACAGATGCAACATTTGTTGGGCACTATAGTATTACATTAAAGGTATGTATACTAACAGTAAAATTTATTCTTCTTATGCTTGTTTTTAATTATGACCATTTTAAATTGTATTCCTAAACATAAGCAATTACTTCTAGGTTTTAGAAACAAAATATTGTATTTTGTTTGTTTAGATTCAGATATTTGGACTTTTAAAATCATTTTCTTTTAGAGATAGTATAGATATAAAGAGAGCTATGGGAGTTTAAACTTTATTTTTCCAGTGGCAACATACCATAAATCAACTGAACACTTTACATAATTGCCTTTTGAAATATTTTTTTTAATGTTATCACTTGGCAATTTTCTAATTCTCTTGAGAAGTTGTAGTCCTAGCTCACAGGGAAAATTAATTATGGAATTCAACTAGCTTTTCAAATTTTATACAGAATATTTTATTACTAACTCCTTCAGTATTTTTTGACTCCTTTTAAACTCTAAACCCCATGCTACCATTAACAAATAGATGGGTTTTCAGGTTGTGAATAGGTGAGCTGGACATATTTTTAAAGTTTTGGTTCAATCAGATAAATCAGTCATCTGCATCTATATTATTATGTTGAAGCTTTCCATCAGCAAATGTTTTCATTAGAAACCTGATAAAAAATAGACGCCAGAAATGTGGGCAACTTTGATTCAATCTGGAGGGTTTCTATTTTATAGTGAGAAATATACATATCAATCTCTGTATATTCAAAACATTCAATTAAATCTGTGGACATTTGAATTTTTTAAAGTGCTTTTAAAAACGGTCTCTTTGGCATAAATGATATCTTTGATTCATTTGACTTGAAAGCAGCTGGAATGGAAGGCTGTTTTCACAAAAATATTTAAGTGCAGAGTAACATCACATAGAGAGCAGAGCAGTTGTGAGCCAGTCATCTTAATGGGAAACCTCTCTGCTCTCACACTTTGGATGTGATCCCAGACACTGCTACTGGCAACCACAGAAGGCAAGAAGGAGTGTGCTTCCTCTTGTGCCCATTTTCAACCCATCCTAAAGGATGGAGAAGCCTCTAGCTACTCACAGAGCAGACTTTGGAATCTCAGAAACTTAACTATGTGGCAAAGGCATAACTAAGAAATTAGATATAACCATCAGCACAAAAATAAAAATCTGTTTTAAAATTGACTAATAATACTGTGAGAATTTGATTTCTGTCAGGCTTATCTCTAAGTAATCTGATTCCAGTGAGCATTCAATTAATAGTTGTAACAAGGGAAAAAATGATGCAGACTCAGGAATCAGGAATCTTTTCAGGATTAGAATGCCATTTCCTTCTCCTGAAGAGCTGGTGCATGGTTTCAAACTGCTGACCTTGTCGTTCGCAGCCCAATGCATAACCACTATTCATTGAGAGTATCATTAATTTAGCCAGTTTCCCCCATTATTTGATTTTATTTTTAAGAGTTTCATTGACATATATTTCATTTACCATACAATTCAATGATTTAAATATATTCAAAGAGTTGTGCAATTACAACTACCATCAATTTTAGAACATTTTCTTCATTTTTGTACCCGTCATTATTAGCTCATTACCCACACCCCACCCTCCTCTGTTGTAGCCAAAAAAACCCAACAAAACTATCAATCTAGTTACTATCTCTACAAATTATCTATCCTGGATTTCATATAAAGAAAATCATCCAAAAACCCCAACAACAACAACAAAATAAAACACAGAAAAACCCCAGTCCAGGTGAAAGCAGAGGATTATAGAAACTAGAACAAATTTAAAAATGGGTTCAAAGGGAAAACAAAGGATAAGATTGCAGAATCTGTAGTACCAGGAGCTAAGCAAAGGCAATGTTAAAGGAAGATCGTTATGACCCAAGGGGATGATTGATAAGAATCTCTACCATAAATTCACGAGGAGGTTTTGAAAGGGAGCCAAAGGCAGATAAATAAACATAGACCCAAGAATGGGTTTGGGGGTAGCATGAAGTGCTAGCTCCAATTAAGAACAATTAGTTCTTACATCATGGCCCTCAGGAAGGAAACACAGAAGATATGAGTGTTAAAGTAAAATGTGGTGAAGAAATTAGATAGTGCCTGGCTATCAGATAAAATAGCATCTGGGGCCTTAAAGGCTCATTACCAAACAAGCAGCCATCTAAGTGAGATGTCAACTAAATCCTCATGGAAGAAGTACACCATCAGTGACTGAAGGGTTGTAAATCATATAATATGAAACCAAAGGAGGAAATAGTACCAGAGTCTAAATTGTGAGAATCTGGTTTTCAGAAAGCTGTGGATGACAGTAGGAGACCAAAGTAGATTTGTGTGATCTACATAAGCAATTAGCTTCCTGTGATTCCCCTCTATCCATAAAAGAGGGTGGGGAAGAGATTGGTTACCAGAGTGCATTGGAGTGATGACTATGAAAGACCAAAATGATAAACCTGGCTTGAACAGTTAAAACCTTATCAGCTGGTCCCAGCTCTGATGCATGCTCGGCCTGATGTGGTTTTTAACACTTTCTGTATCTTTATGTGTTTTGTTTGTTCATTGGGGTTTATCTCAGATGCGTTTTGTCACTGGGGGTGACCCTCTTAAATTTTTGCTATATATTTGTCTGTTTTTCAGTGTATGAAACCCAGGATTGATGAACCTATAAGGACAGCAAGTAGAAAGCATAAGGGCTTCCGGGGTATGGGCTGGGCAGGGGGTACAGTGGTTTTGGTGGGGAGTGGGGGCTATCAAAAAGCTGATGTCAAGGAGTTCCAGAAGGAAAGTAATGTTTTGAAACTGTGATAACAATTATACAATACTGTTTATTGCACAACTCCCAATGAAATGATTTTGAAGAAAAAACTATTGTAAATTTTTTAACTATATCTGTGGTGATCCACTTTCTGATGTACTGTACTCTGTCTGAGGGCAATAATACCCACGTCCCTAGTCAATGGTCTGAGGGAGTGCAGTGGAGGCTTATTTCACATGGGGACTCTGCAAATGGAATTTGGGTCTCCACCGTCATCCATGGCCTCTGCGGACGGTGTATTCCAAATCTCAGCTCTGATACCATTCTCTCCCTTAGATTTGGACTATATTATTTACAATCCGTGAATCACACAGGCTTTTATGCTTCTTCCATGTGGATTTAGATAGCACCTCACTTAGAAAAGTGATTATTTAAAGACAAGCCTTTAAGAGCCAGACATAGCGTCGCTCTCCTTTCTGATAGCAGGGCACCATCTGATTTATTCACCACCTTTTGCTGTAGCACCATGTCTTCAGTGATCACTTCATGTGGGCAAGCATTGAGCAGGGCCATGCCATAAGAATGAATTGTTCTTAGATAGAGGCAAACTCAAGATTCATCAATGTGTCTAAAGCTTAGATATATCCTTGATCCACATTAGAGGTAGAATCATCAGTTTGTTGAGAATAATTTAAGTAACCTCCATTAGTTTCTAGTCTCTTTTAGTCTGGAAGATTAACAGAAACCTGTCCACTTTCTAGCATGTGAAATACCAGTGGCATAGCTTTCCACATGACAGCCACATGGAATCATAATCGTACAATGAATTTACACATGGAAAAAATATTTTTAGCAAAAATGTATTAAGTACCTACCATAGACCAGAGATTATTGAATATCCTTTTATGTATTATTTTCAAGCAAGTCTCACACACCCCCATGAAGACATATGTCATCACCATTTGACATGTAAAGAAACTGAGATTCAAGTTATGTGTCTAGATGAAAGTCACTTAGCTACTAAGTGACAGGACAATGATCAGAACCAAGATGTGTAATTATAAAGTCCACATTTTTTCTCTTTCTACATTTATTTGATTATGTATAGCTTCAAGTCTATTAATAATTATTGAATGTTTCCCAACATTTTATGTGCAATATGAGGAAATTTTTCTCATTTAGATTCTAATGTACATGTTGGATGATGGCAGATTCTGGAAGATTTGTTTTTCACTTGCTGCTTAATGGTCCCTTAGAGGACTAGAGACCAAGCAGAATAAGTAGAGCTGTCGATATTTTTAGACTGAATTTGTACCATCATTTGACCAGTGCATCTGCATTATCATTTATTTAAGCAACTGTTCTGCTTCTAAGATTTAGTAAGATCCGAATTCCTAGAATTTAGACTGTAGTTTGCATTAGCATGTGAGTGTATAACTAGATCATCTGGCAGCGTTATGCGCTAAGAGTAATGGAGTGAAACTAGCTACAAATCTATTTGTAAAATATATAGATTCATACACACACATATATATGTATCTATACATATACTTTCGAGTCATTTGACTACTGTCAAATAGTATGTACAATAGCCAAACTCAATAAAATGCTATTATACTAATTTAACATATCAGTTTTACTTTAAATATAAAATTTTGTATTTTATATAAAATTTGCCAGGATTTTTGTATTATTGAATTAATAATTTTTGGTGATTTTTTTGCTTGTTTTCTGAACATTCTGTAGCATTTGGATTGAGAGAGGACAAGGGAATTATAATATATTTCTATAACTGTAACCTACTTGCAAATAATCTACCAAGAAAACATTTTCTTTTATGTTCATTAGGAAAAGAATAAAGTTGTCATAATGGTCTAAAAAGTAGACGATAGAGTCAGGCTCTGGAGTTTAAAGACTGGCTCTGCTGCTTACTAGGCATTGAGCTCAAGGAAGTCACTTAACCTTTACAAATCTCAGATACTTCATTATAAAATTGAGGCTATAAGAATATCTGTATCACAAAGTTGTCTTGAAGGTCAACCTAGACAATAGAAACATAGAAGCATTTAAGCTTTTGCTTTAGTGCTCATCATATAGTACCCTCTCAGTCTATGTTAGATGATATTATTATTCACTACAAGAAACAGGTGAAATACATAGTTAAGTTCTTTCTCTTCCCTGAATTCCACATCTACAGAAGAGAGTTTGAGAGAGAGAGAGAGAGAGAGAGAGAGACTAAGAACAGTAAGATGGAGAACAGTGTCTTTTCTTTTGGCTTAAGTCATATATGGAAAA